GCCAGCTATCCAGTGTGTTGTGATTGGCTGAATTGGCCGTGTGATGAAAATGTTACGCCCCTACCATACTGTGTTTCCATGTGTCCCGGTGCGACGAGACAAAACCAATAAAACCCATTACAAACGAAATGAGATTCGACGAAGGAGGCTTGCGGTAACCACATGTGACGACCCCGGGCTGGACTCCGCTTTGTCCACGGTGAAAGCCGATCTGGCGATTGACAGTGCGAAGTTGATGTATTTCCTCAGCGACCAGCACGGATCAGCTCTAGGCATGACGAAGCAGATATCGTCCTCTTTTGGAAGACCAAAGTAGTTTCGCTTTCACAACGAAACACACAGCATCTCCACAACATGGCGGCGGCGGCAACAATACTACAGCGAGAATAAAAGTTACGCCTTCTTTCTTTGCGTGAACATTTGGGCAGCGTTATGCAAATCTTCCCACACAGTGATGTAGACATGTGAGGGCATGTTTAAACAAGGTGTTTTAGGAGGGCGTGGACAAGTCTTAACTTTGATAAAGAATATTTCTTTGGATTTGAGACTTTAGTCTTTGCAACTTTACAGATCTTCTTTATGCACCAAGAGCTTGTAACAGTCCAAAGAGAAAGGAAAAATTGAAATCGCATCATATGACCCCTTTAAGCTCAACTTTCATATGAATGAACTGAAAACACTAGCTCTGCTTAGCTCGCTACTTGCCAGTGGAAACACACCATACAGGCATGCTGAAATGGAAATGAGACCAATTGGACCAATCACAGCAGATTAGTGTCATGCAAAGGAGGGGTTTGGAAAAATGAATAGTTGAGCGAATCGTTTGGGGGTCGTTGAGCAAGTAAGATAAAAAAATAAATGCATATTATAAGACAATGAAAGTGTTTTTTGACCTTGCATGCATGTTATCCTGTTATTGGGGACTCCCAAAACCAAAATATGAACCTTTCATTACCCATATAGGGGTACTTTAATGTTCTCTGTCTGCTGTTCCTTCTTGCCAGTTCTGTGGAAGCACTATTGCCAAAGTCCCTTTAAGGTATAGTCTTTGTTTATACTAGACGCGTCCGCAAGTTCGCTTGCAAATATGACGTCATCGCGGTGTTGGCGGAAGTTCGCTTTGAGTGCGCGCGAACTCATTTGGCGTGGCGGTGTGCACGGCATTTTTTGTAACTTTTCGCGCAGCTCCGCATCCGAAGATGCACGAGTTCAGGGCGATTCTAGCCGAACATGCACGTCTGTGCCGGCATTTGTGTGAAACCGAAGCAGTTTGATGTGAAGTTCAAACTCCATCGGGTGCTTTTTGACGCTTTGACGGCAAACAAACCATTTTTTTTTGCATAGTTTGTCCAAGGCTTTTTATTTTAAGTACGTTTTATTTTTATTGAATAAAAATATAATTAGAATTCATTTAGATACTATATATACACTATTTGCTTAAAGTTGTCTTGTGTTTGATGCCCAGATAGCACACGCACGTCGCGGAGACGTCTGGCAGATGTCCTCTTTTGTGTCTGGCAGATGTATATTTTAGGGCGTTTGCTCATCTGGCATACGTCGCCGAGACGTCCCTGCCAGCTGTTAAGAGACGCCTAGCCGATGTATTCCAGACGTAAATAATTTAGAACGTCTTGGATCCGCTCTTTAAACGATGTTAATCAGATGTTCATACGTCTGCAAGATGTCTGATTGATGTAGGACAGACGTTTTATCAAAACTTCCCCCTCCCATTATTTTAATAAAATACCCTCGCGATATCTATAATAATCCTCCCTCATGCATGTTACAATTACCAAACATAATCAATTAATAAACCACACTCTCAACTAATAGAACACACATTTGTTAATTTTATTTAAAAAAATACATTTAATAACAGGCAAAGAAAACATTTGATTCATACAAAAACACTATAACAGTTTATGCAAACAACAATACACTATTTGTAACATATATATATATATACAGGCATACATAAAAAATACATAAACATTTAAATCCAAGCGTAGGAAATCTTTAATAAATGTTTCCGCGTCTGCTTCGGTTGGAGACAGAAGGACGGGATTCCTCATAGCTGAAGCTGTATGTTAAAAGAAACAATTACAAACAGTAAAAAAGATCGAGCAACCTGCTTCCACTTACACTGAAATAAATGAACGTCAGATATTTTTTTCTTTATCTGGTTCTTCTGAATAAATCGGACAAAGTTATCTAATTAGCATAAAGAACAACTCGAGCTGGTTCACCAACTGCAAGAAGAAGACGCACGTGAACTACGCAGGTGAGCTGGGGTGCGTGAGTCAAAGCTCTTCCCGCGATATTCAGCCTAACCACGTGCCGTGCTGTGCAGAAGACGCATCTTAGTTAGTTGCAATGGAATATTTGCTTAAGGTAGGTGTATATTTTAAAACTAGTTGTATTGTGCCTGCGATCGGTTTTATAATAACTTCCAAAATTAAGTTGTGTATCACCTGTTTGTTTACTAGCGAGTATACCATAAGCTGTTTCGCGTGCGTTTTGGTTGGGCAAATGGTTTTCTAAAGGGTTTAACTGATGTTTTAAGTCTCATTTAAGTTTTTAACAAGTTATTATAATTTCTAAATGTTTTTGTTAACGGCTGATGCCACGTCAGATTATGTTTGACCAATTTGAAACCTGTTATACATTATTTTAGTTGTACTGACTAATGCTGTAATGACAGCTTCGCCATTAATTCTATTGCTTGTATTTGTACAACATTGTTGAATTTACCTATTAGGAGTGCTCCGATGTTTGATTTTCGGATCCCTCTCTTGTCTCCCCTGCTGCACCAGTTCAGTTGCCGGGCTACTTCAGTGGAGAACACCTTGGAGCAAATCCTCCATACAGTCTTCTTCATGCTCGGCCCGCCACTGATGGATAATCTGTTCACCTTCAACAGGTCATTTTTTAAGTAATATTTTAGCATTAAATTGACCTGCATTCTATACACATCCTGTTAAAAGATTTTGTAATTTCTTTTTTGAAAGAAGCTTCTTATGTTCACCAAAGATGCATTTATTTGATCAAAAACAGTAAAAAAAAAACTGAAATGTTACATGATCTGTGGTAAGTAATAATTCTTGTATTTGTCTAGGAGACATTCAATTGAAAAGTAACAGTAAAGCAGAGTTCCTATACATTTTCCATTTCAAAATTCCATACATTTTCACATATTTCTAATTTCAGCATTACGTTTTCTCAAGGTAATAACATACAGAGGCCCTAACGGGACCTTTGCAAAAAGTACAAATGTATAGCCTTTCGTGTGTGCTTGAGAATAACTTTTTTTACATGAAACTGGGCTCTTTAATAACATGCTTAAATTAACACGTAAAGAAACCTAAAATGATTATAGCCTGCAAATATTCACCTGTGACACATATTGTAAATATGGTTAGATGTTGTTTTCTTGGTCGTGCGCCATTGGTTTTTGGACTTTAATGATTGCCCTATTGTGATATTATATGAAATTATCACTTTTCAAAATGACTATAATTTTTAGAAAGTTTTTTTTTTTTTTTTACATTATAACAATTAAAAATAACATAATGAATATTATGTATTTAGTAAATGTAATGTTGACTACTTTGTTGTTGTTGTTATTATTATTGTTATATACTTGCACACACGCCCACCCCTCAAAAGGCTGAAACCACAGAGCCCCCCAACATAACATCCGATTTTAACCCCTGCAAATCAGCGTTATTTCTAATTTTCAAAGCATCCTGGAAAAAATAAATAATTATGGATTCCATAAAATATAATGAGTAGCAAAAACTGTTTTTGATTATAATTAACACTGATAAGATGAACCATTATTAATAACTGCCAGTAATAATTGCTAATAACTGAGCAGAATCAGCATATTATAATGATTTTTGAAGGGGCATGTGACACTGGAGGCTGGAGTAATGTCTATTTAAAAAATATTTACAAATAACAGCTTATTATTTTAATATTTCAGAGTATTACCGTTTCTGTTATATTTTTCATAAATAATTTTATATCTCAGCAAATAAATGGAGTGAGCATTAGAGACTTCTTTCAACAACATTTCAACTTAATCATTCCATGCTTTTGACTGGTAGTGTGTAAACATGCACACACACGTTAGCACACAAACAGTTTGTTTACATTTTGTTAGTAGTTGTAGGTTTGACAGTTTCAGTGATTCTTACCATTCTCTGCATAAACCCTCTGTCTGACAATCTTTGTTCCAGCCTCTCTAGGTCTGCAGTAGAGGCTAGAGGAAAGACACCACCCTCTCCCTCTTCAGCCATCTGCATTTGGGGTACAACACGCCTGTTCCCCACTAGAGACTGGACCAATGAAGTCAGATGGTTGATCTTCATGTCCATTTTCTCTAGTGTTTCCAGAATTGCCCTGTCTACAGCTGCAATACAGAAAATAATTTAATTTGGTATGTAGATTTGATGAATGAAATGATGCATTTTGCAACTTATTTAAATTAATAAATAACGTATGTGTACATTGATTTGGTACTGTACTCAAGACTGCATTTTCCTGTCTCCCACCAGAAGTACCTGTAAGTATAAATTTACTGTAAGGTTTTAAATGTTAGATGTAGTGTTACATGCATCTGCCTTGATGGATGTTATCAAAAGAATGTCACATTATTTAGGGTAAAATGTTTACAATAAAACAAACAAAAAAAAAATCCTGACCCCTTTAATGCTTTTCAGTATTTTCTGCTTTGCTAAAGAGACACACTGGAGCTCAAAATGGAGTTGGTAAGTAAAATCTTAAAGTAAGTTAATGATGATGGTTTCAACATCAATTTAAAATAAAATAATTAGGTAACTTACTCTGTGTTCTTCCTTGGTAGTCACCTGAGGGTCTCAGAACAGAAAAGGTGTGCTCTACGGATTGAATACAAAATATTATGTTATTCAGTTTAAGATTGTGTGAAGGGCTGTGAGTTAGTGTTTTCTCTTCCTTGTTCTAATTAACGTTCTTTTACCTTGTGTGTCAGGTGGATGAGCACTCCAGCCGTCTGCCTGAGAGACGCCCACTGGAGCTGAGAAAGATGGAGTTGGTAAGATTTGCTTGTTACCAAAACAAATAAATACACACTAAAATTAAAACCAAATTTCAGAAAAGCATAAAACATCTTCACTTCTTATAATAACAGTAATAAGAGTATGGTTAATTTATTATTACATTGACATTACCAAAAATTTATATTGGTATTCTGTTGACAGCATGAGGACTCTGATGTGAATTTCACAATGGGGATGTTTGCTGTAGTCCAAATCTTAGTGTGCCCAGTTGCATGAAAGCCCTAAAGTTAAGAAAATCTTTGTCTTGTGTAGCCAGGCCTTCAGGCTGACAACAGAAGGTCTGAACCCCTTTGATTGGCCAAGGACCATCCGAGAGGCTGTCTGACTAACAGGTAAAGCAACCAATCACAGTTCATTGTGTGTAGCATCATCTTTAGGGGCGTGCAAATGAAAAGTTGATGCCACTTCAATAACTGACTGACATGTAAAATTCTTGGACGTATTTTAAAACGTTTATGCTTATACTCCAATGTTTAGTTTATCATGGTATGCACTAGGGCTGTGTATCACCAGCAAAGTCATGATACAGAGGCCACGCTACAGGATTGCACTGAATTTCACCTCAGCAGAATTTAGAAAAACAGCTGTTTATCAAACACTGCTTACTATAGTGCCATTTCTAACTATTGGCAGAGCAGGCACTTGACCTCTGCATTATGAAGGGCCTCCATAACTGTACCACAGTACAATATACAGTGGGGCAAAAAAGTATTTAGTCAGCCACCAATTGTGCAAGTTCTCCCACTTAAAAAGATGAGAGAGGCCTGTAATTTTCATCATAGGTATACCTCAACTATGAGAAAAAAAATCAGTTACATTGCTGGTAGGTTATCATTGCACAAATGAACACACTCTCTGCGATTTAAAAAAAAAAAAAATGAGAAGAGTTCTAAACTAGCATGCTGTCTTCACTGTATCTAAGGCACACAAGGCTGATTTACTCGATGCGTCCGCAAGTTCGCTTAGGTGCACGCAGCTTAGGTGACTTTCTGCGCAGCTCCGCATCCGAAGATGCACTAGTTCAAAGGGACTCTAGCCGAACATGCACGTCTGTGCCGGCATTGTGTGTGAAACAGAAGCAGTTTGATGTTAAGTTCAGTCACACACACATTGATCTAGCACCTCATGACTACACCATGTTATGTACGAGAATCTGCAAAAGACACAGGAGCAAGGAGAATGTACAAAACATGGTGACATACATTTTTTATTAAATATAATGGGTGATATATTGCGTCACCAAAAATTATTGAGGTCATATTGCGCGATAAGTCGATATATTGATTATTGCGACAGACCCACCGACACCATCAACTTTCACCGCTGTTTTAGCGTTCACGGATTATGAATGTTATGCTCTGTGGAGCATACGATATTTTGGAGTATCTGTTATGGCCCCTAGTGCTCAGTGAACTCAGAGATGGGTCAAAACGTCCAGTCATGTCCACCTCACCATGGTAACTGTGGAGAAAGCCTCAACCTTGCCATAGCAACCCTGAGACACAACGGTTCACCTGCCGCAGCTTGTCACCACAACAAAAAGTCAAAAAACAAACGCAAGAGTAACTGAGTAACTGAGTGTGTGACAGAGTGTTATTTACACATCTATTGCTCAGCCAAGAGTTACTGTGTAAATGTTGTGCTGTGATTTAGTGATCCTGATGTAGTGACAACTCAACTCTCAGTTTTCATATCTTGGTTGTCATTCACCTTTAACCTTTGACCTGAAGCAATGAAACATCAGCGCCATCTCTCAGTGGGGGCAGAGAGTGGACTTACCAGGGTATTCAGTCATCTTAATTGAGATTCTAAATCACATAGGGAGCATGTTTAGTCCAGAAAGCACTGGAAGCAGAATAGATGTACATTTAGTGCTTTAAAGGAAGTAGAAGATAGTTGTTAGACAACACATAACAAACCATAATTTTTTTTTTCTCATTAAAAATCACAAAAGATATTCTATCACTAAATGTTGGGGTTTCAAGTATGACAATTTTTATATTAACAAATTAGTAAGTAAATAAATACTATTGGTTTAATAATATATTTATATAAATGCATGAATGCATTATGTATATTGAAATATATAAAAGTTTGGTTTAAAATACTAAATTACTAAATATACATAGTTATGTGTAAATATAATTCAATTTACTGTAAATCTGAAATATGTGTTATAGTAGTAATAATAATAATAATAATAATCACATATATTATATAATATAATATAAGATATATACTATATATCATATTTGTTCAGTAAACCACTGTTTACTAAAGAAAGCCATTTTGATTTTTTTTTTTGCTATACTAAAACCATACCAAACCATGATTTCAAAACCGATGGTATGTACCAAATTTCGTTTTTTTTTTTCCTCTGGTGTAACGTTATGCATGTTTGTTTTTTTTTAGCTGTAACTTCATTGAAATTATTAAAGTGATTAAAATGGAAAAAAACATTAAATCCATAACAATATTTAATATGATTTGAAATGGTGTTCAGTTTGATTTAGTTCAATTTGACTAAAACGTGCAGATTATTGTACTTTCAGAACAAACAGCTTCCTGTGAATGTTGCAGCCCATCATGTCTGTATTCCTGGACATTGTTAAAGTTATCAGACATTTTGTTTTTCCCCTTCTTAACTTACTCAGTGTTCTTCCTTGGTGGTCCCCTGAGGGTCTCGGGACAGAAAAGGTGTGCTCTATGGATTAAACAGATCATGCATGTCATGTTATCCGGTTTTAAATTGTGTGAAGGGCTGGGAATGAATTTTTTCTTATTTTCATCTCCTTATGCTAATTAATGCTTTTGTACCTTGTGTGTTAGGTGGATATACACTCCAGCCGTGATGGTCTGCCTGAGAGACGCCCACTGGAGCTGGGAAAGATGGAGTGGGTAAGATTTGCTTGTTACTCAGACAAGTAAATGCACATTAAAATTCTAGCTAATTGAATTTCAGAAAATAATAAAAGCAAAGAAAAATATGTATTAAAATCTATTTTAAAGTAAAATCATGGCATCAATGCCATCCAGAAGAAAAAGAAGTCAGTAAATTGTAACATGCACACTATCAGTCAAAACTTTCTGAACAGTAAGATTTTCTATGTTTTAAAGAATTCTCTTCTGTTCACCAAGCCTGCATTTATTTGATCCAAAATACAGTACAATACCTGCTTTCTACAGTAGTCAACATTTGAAGTGGTTCAAAAAAGTTCATCAAAGTTGTTCTAAGACAAGAACACATTTAGGTTTTAGGTTTTATGACAACTTTGATGAAAGGTGTTGGTCCACTTCAAATGTTGACTACTGTATTTGATTATTTTAAAATGTAAATTTAAATCAAAGCTGTATTTTCAGCATCATTACTCCAGTCTTCAGTGTCACATGTTCCCTCAGAAATCATTCTAATATGCTGATTTGCTGCTTAAGAAACATTTTTTATTATTATTATTTTCAATATTTAAAATGGTTGAGTACAGTTTTTTTCAGGATTCTTTGATGAATAGAAAGATCCAAATATCAGCATTTATGGGAAATAAAAAGTTTTTTTTACAATAAACCATTCAAAAGCTTGGAATCAGTATAATTTTTTTCTTTTTGTGTGTGTGTGTATGTGTGTGTGAATATTTAGAAATTAATACTTTTATTTAGCAACAATGCTTTAAATTAATCAAAAGTGATGAGAAAACAATGTTAACAAAAGATTTCTATTTCAGATAAATGCTGTTCTTCTGAACTTTCTGAGTTTATATAGAGACTTCTTTAAAAAACATTAAATATCTTACTGTGTAAACACATTGGTTAATGACATTACACAGGTGGAGTAATAACCTTTAATTAATTGGTTTGAGATTGAATTAATTCCAGATTTTTTTTTATATGAATTATGGGTATGACATCTGCGGACTGATTTTTTATTTTATTTTATTTTATTTTGCTTTCTTTCCAGATTCAGTGATAGGCTCTTATGTACTAGAGCACGTGCGCACGTACACTGTTTTCCAAAATGGCTATTTAAATCTCTTGACAAACTAAAAGATATGAATTAATTAATTAATTAAATTTTATATTCTTGAAATGAAATATATAAATTCTACTGAATGTTAGCTTGCTTTTTTTGCTGCACGTCCCTGTGTGTGTGTAATAAGCAAAGTGTACGCGTGTTGTGCACCCGTCTATAGGCTAACGTGCTCCTTAAATAACAAAGAAAAAATATTGCACCAGACTTTAGACCAGGTTTTTGTTGGTCAATGGCACAGTCTATTTCAGTTGCCTCAAAATAGCAATGCGCCTGAACACACCTCGTTTTCAGACCAGCACGCCCATGGGCACAAATGCATTTGCTATTTAAACAACGTGGCGCAGGATGTGAAAATGACAACTGTGTCAGCCTGAAACTAGCAAAAAAAACACTTGCTTCGCGCCTGGAGCCGCATTGCACCAGCTGTATGATAGGCCCCTAAAACTTGGGTGAACCATTTCAGATTACAACACCGTTATAGCCGATCAAATGTAACTTACTCTGTGTTCTTCCTTGGTAGTTACCTGAGGGTCTCAGGACAGTAAAGGTGTGCTCTACGAATTGAACACAATATATTATTCAGTTTTAGCTGTGAATGCTGCGGTCACACTAGACTTTAAGCATGCAAAGTTTCCTTGGATGCTGCAACGGTCGTGATATGATGTCATGCTCTGCAGCATGGTTTTAAAAACTTAAATTCAACTCATAACGCATAATAATACATTTAAAATGTAAAAACATACAATCTACTCCACTTTCCTGCAGCGCTGCAGTTTTACATTCATGTTCTTTTAATTCAGCTATTATGCTGTGATGTATCAAACTGCTGTTGGTCATACAGTTTCACGTGATTGACCATTGAACCAGCTTGAACATTGGAATGCAGCGAAATGTAAAACTTTTCACACAAGCTTGTTTTTCCGGTTTGACGCAGTCGCATGCGTACTAATGGAAGTCAACAGAAGGAAAAGTGCAGTGTGATCACCCCTTTATTCTAATTAATGTTCTTTTACCTTGTGTGTCAGGTGAATGAGCACTCCAGCCGTCTCCATGATGGTCTGCCTGAGAGATGCCCACTGGTGCTGAGAAAGATGGAGTGGGTAAGATTTGCTTGTTACATTTTGCAAATTAACAAACTATGGCCTGCAACACACTCAGCAGCCAGAATTCCGTTTTTGTTTTGTTTTGTTTTTCGGTCTAAAATCATGACCCACGTGAATCATGCAGATCAGTAATAAAACAAAATTGAGGGAAGTGGGCATGGGGTTGGTGGTCAGGGTAATGCTGGTTACTGCGTGCATGATGTTTGAAATCTCACAAATGGCCTTAAGCCAGTGGTTCCCAAACTGGGGGGTGGGCGCATTAAGGCTGAGAGATGGTGTACAGTCAGCAGATTATTTTGCAAAAGAAACCTCCACAGGGTGAAAAAGACTACACTGCATAATTTTTCTGTATATCATTGCCTGATAAGTAAATAATTGAATGCAAAATATTAATTTGACATATTTTAATTACCTCATCAACATGACTGGCAGTACCTGCTTGAGCGCTCCGTTATCAGTTGTTGCAGTTGTGGTTGTATCAATAACAGACCACTAGATGGTGTGATTGAACAATCAGAGTTGTATTGCAGGGAGACATG